ACTCTAGGAATCTAAAATAGATCACCTTCCCCATCAACTACCTTCCCCCGCCAAGTCCTTGCCACACATTTTACTTTCAGAGGACTCAAACTAAGTAGGTCCCTTCTCCAGCTGCATTTTAGGTCCAAATTTGGGGCTTCTCAGCTACCCCTTACTTCAATACATCTCTCACACACCCATCAGCTGAGTAGTCTTACCTGGGACTGTTTGGATGTGATCCTGCCTCGTACCATGTTATTCCAACCTCGAGTTTGGAGAGGGCTCCTCACTCACCTGCCCCAAACTCTAGTAACATACTGACAGGCTGGGCTCTTTCATAGGATGCCCAGGACTACTCATGAGCTTCGGTACCACTCTTTACCCTGGGTAGAAAGCCCAAGAAACCTCATTTTGATAGTCGGGCCCTGGATGAGAGCTCCTCCTGAAAAGTGGAACCTCTAACATCTTTGTATAGAAGGATTTGTAGATTACAATCTGATGGGAATGAAAGTGGGCCCTAGTAGACTTAAGAGCAGCATCTCCAGGAGCTTTGTCCACCTATTTTGTACCAAGCTCGCCTCTCCAAAGCAGGTGCTCTTTCTTTACCAGGCCCTTGGTAAACCTATTCAGAAAACTGTAAACTGGCAACCAAGACTTCAGTTGGTGCCAGGGCACCCTCTGGTGGCCATGACTCAGAAAGCCTCAGCCTTACAGCAGTGTTCCTCATGGGACTAAGTGGTCCGTTATCAAGGACACAGAGACTGTTACAAAACTGATGGTCATCATGATGAGACAGAAACATCAACACAGACTAGCAGCCTGAATGAGGCAGAAGATAGACCAAGATGGACCAGACAGACCATCACGGAACAAATTGACCTAATCATAGTCTAGATCAGCACCAAATGCAACTGTTTTCCCTTCTGTGAGACATCATTGGGGAAAAGGGGGACAAAGCAGGCCTTTATTAGCCCTCTAAGAGCTTGAATGGATTCCTAGACATTAGTGAGTGTAAAAGCAACTCAGTTCCAGCAGCTGGGCCCTGTTTGAACATTCCTGGCGATGCTGACCATGGCTCGTATGTGGGAGAAATGCTGATTTCATCAGATGTGAATGAAGCCGCAGCAACAGCAGGGCTTGCTGCAGCACAGCCTGACCATCTCTAGGAGTTCTGTGGGTGCTGGAAGATGAAACGGTCTTTCTGCCTAGAATGGGCTGAGCAGAGCCAAACAAGATGCCACCCCCCACTGAAGCCTTGCCTCAGACTCCCCGCCCTAGGAGGTGGGGTGACTCAGTGTATCTGTTCAATCCTTCTTGGCCAGAGCAAGAATCCAGTAAGACCCTATGCCCGCTTCCCTCACAGGTCCACCAGTGATTGTGGGCCATGTTCTTCACAGGACCCAGAGCTTTCTGGTCCTTGCCAGAGACCTCTTTGTGAAGGCCTCCAGCACTTGCCCAGCCCACTTTTCCCGGGGACGAAGCTCTGAATTAGTCCCTCTCCAGGGACTGCAGCAGAGCCCAAGGCCTTGCTTGTAGCCAAGCAGCCCACGGGCTCAACTGAGGAGGCAGGCTGGAGTTAGAACTTGGAACCGCGTGCACATTCCCACGTCCCTCCCATGCTCTCCAAAGCTATGTATTTTTTTCCCCCACAAGGACTCTGGTTCGGGCTGACGGAGGAGAGGTTTATGATTACGGGCCCATGGAGGGCAGAGGCTGGGGTTATATGGTCTAGGGTCCCCTCAGCCTCTCACTCCGTCCCTCCACAGCGGGGAGAGGGCGAGTGGAAGCTGTGACTTATTCTCAGTCTCTTCCCCTTGCACAGGCTGGGCGGTACTGTGTGGACTTCCTGGGTGACAACATGTGTCACAGAGTAGGGGACACAGATCACCCCAAAGTGTAAAGCCAGACAGTCACGTCTGCACACACAGTCGTTCACCAAGGAATGTCAGCACAAGACTGGAAATAACCCACATGTCCAACATAAAAAAGTTATTTAAGTCTGTCCACATTTCATAAAATCTAGTTGAAATGCCAAAAAATTGACTCCTGATTCAAAGAACTTGAGATTCTGGGAGGATCTGAGGAAGCAGGTGTCCCCAGAGAGGACAGGGTAACAGAAACTGTTGTGGCTATTGTGGCAACTCTATGTTTACCTCTAGGCTACTACATCCTTGGAAACACAGCTCCCTATACACAGACCATTATAAAACTGAGTAATATTTTGATCTTTACTCCACTTTCTTCAAAGCACTTCCTCTTTTGTGCCCAGTCAATTCCCAGTGTTTTTCAAGATTGAAGTCCCTCTCTAGCTTTCAGGCAGATTTAAGCCTGCCCTCTACTGTGTCTTCCGAAGACATTCTTATCTTTTTTGTTAACAGCAATTAATCCATTTTGTCCTATTTAGTCTCTCCACTTTAAGACTGAAACTCGGGGCAGGGGGTAGAGAACATGGTTCACCTACTTCTGTACCCCCAGCTTCTGACACGTCTGGCACACACGAACATCACGCAATACTGACACCTGTAGGCTGAGTTAAACGAATGACCTGTCTGGTGTGCCCCCTCCCTCTGGCCCTCTCCACAGGACCCCAATGCCCCCGATGAGCTTAGTACGTCCAGTGTGTCTCGAGGTAATTATCTCACAAGTCATCATTCATTTATTCGTATCACACACATTTACTGAGAACTGAATCTGTTTGGGTTGTTCTGGTATCTAACAGCCAACAGAACAGTCAGTCTTGGCCCTTACAGAGCTTATGTTCTAACAGAGGGTAAACAGACAAGTCCAAAATGGTGAGATAGATGCTAAGTAGGAGACAGTTGTGGGATCATGGCACGGCAGCATTTTCCAAGAGGCGGCAGCATCTAGACTAACCTAGAGCAGCAGTACTAAGCCAGCTAGAGGTGATGTATTCCAGGCAGAGGGCAGAGCAGAGGGAGTCCAGCCTGAGTTTACGGATGAAGCCTAAGAGCCAGGCAAGGCCATGCTGAGCCTACAGACTGTGGCAGAAGTGTGACTTCACCCTGGCAGTAGACACCTATGAACTTCATCATCAGTTTGTCCTGGTTGGATTTATAAGGGCAGTGTGGCTGCTGTGAGAATGGATGTTAAGAGGGGCAACAGGGCAGCCGTCTCCCTCTGCTCCACACTGACCACATCAAACACGTCTATGACCAGAAGTGCAGCTGATTTCCTCACACCAAGCGATGCCCAGACACCAGCTGAGCATTCTCCAATCTAACTCAGTTCTGACACCATCTGCCTGGAGTCAGCACCAGACCCTAAGGCTAAAGTCTCAGTCCCACAAGACTGCCTCACCTCCATATTCCTCTCCCACCTCCATTTCAGATGCCAATCACAAGTACAGGTTGACACCAGAGCTTCTTGTCCACTGGCTATAAACTGGAGGCTCCCACAACTGCCTCCTCAGATTGTCAACTTGCTGGAGCAGCTCACAGAACTCAGGAAGTCTACCTACTGTTACTGCTTTGTTAGAAGACATTAAAGGATGTGACTAAACGGCAGATGAAGAGGCACAGCGTGAAGCCTGGAGGGTCTTGAGCACAGAGGTCCCTGTCCCTGTGGAGTTTATGTGCACTGTCTTCCTGGTATGTGTCTTGTTCCTGGACACGTTCCTGTTCACCAATCCAGCTCTCCAAACTCTGGGCTTTCAATGGGGGCCTCATCACATAGGCACAACTGATTAAACCAGTGGTCATTCATGGATTGATCCAAACTTCAGCCCCTCTCCCCTCCCTGAGCTGAATGTAATACGCTCCAATCACATGGCTGATTTACTTGGCAACCAGCCCCCATTCTGTGGTGATCCAGGTGCTTTACAAACATCATTCCATTAGCATAAACTCAGGTGCAGTTGAAAGAAGCTGGTCAGAGGTAAGATTCTCTATCTTTATAGGTCTTATTACTTAGAAAATTCCAACGGGTTTAAGAAACGGGTTTAAGAACTGCATGCCAGGAATCTAGCAACATGGATGAAAAAATTTGTTTATTATATCACAGGATCACAAACGGCAAGGATGGCTGAGTTGTGATGAACTGTTTGAGGCATGATGGTGGGTGGGGGAATTAAGGATTCACCCAAGGTTTCTAGGCTTTGACAACTGCGTACATGATTGTGTTATTCCCTGAGGAAGTGATTTGTTGGGGAGGAAGAGACACTCAATTGAATATGAAACATGCTGAATTTAAGATGCTTCTGAGACATCCAGGTGAGAGATATGGTATTTCTGGAACCAGGAAACCAGTTCTGAATTTCAGCCAGCATTGGAGCCTAGGCATTGTCAACACAGAGGGAGTAATCAGTCCCAGGCTTTCCTGAGCTCTTTCAGGCAGAGGGCCCAAGATGGAACCCTGGGGAATGGAACTTGTTGGGGGTGGGATGGGATAGGGGGGTGTCAGAGGAGGAAGGACCAGTTTGTTAAGGGTGTTGGGAGAAAATCAGGGAAGTATGGTATCATAGGACTCAAGTAACACATGTCACACCCAGACACACTGCAGTGTTTTCAGCACAGGCACAACCACGAAGACAATGTGTGAAAACACATTTCATAGAAAAAACAAACTTGTGCACATATAGGCAAAGCCTGGGGAAAAAAAAATCAAGCATCCTTGCAGGCACAGAGGAGTGTTCTTGTCTTATAGACAACTCTGTGGCCAGGGTGGGCAACAACGGAGCAACGTTAGGTGACAGTCTTCCTCCAAGGCTTTGCACATGCTGTTTTTTGTCTAGAATGCCTTATTTTCCTCTCTTTTCTTTTTCAATCTGCCTCCTTCTCATTCTTCAAGTCCAGCTTAGGTTTCATTTCCTAACTGGAAGTCTTCCACGACCTGTAACATCTCATGATTCTCAAAGTGATGGTCTCTTTGTACCCCCTACAGGTTCTAAGCAGGCACCAGGACCTCTTGCTTAGCTTACTGGTTAGCATTTGATAAGTAATACATGAGGCAACACGTAACTTGAGTTCTTCAGCCTTTCCTCAAAACACCTGATGTGGCCCCAGTTTACAAAATAAGTCATATTTATTTGCACTTAAGACTTCACCATTTGGTAAACTACCCTGTAACCCTACCTCTGCATTCTCAGCTTCCACCACTCTTGAGTAGCCAGGGCTTTCATATATCACCAGCCCTTCTATCACCTTTATCAGAAACCAGGCAATATCCCAGACTGCCCCCATCTCACCATCCAAGTGTCAACCAGACTCCAGGTCCTCCTTGGAGTCTGCTTCCTGAACCCAAGTCTCTGTCACCATCCCCAAGGCCCAGCCTGAACCTGGGCTTGCGTCATCTCTTGACAATCATGGCGACCCTATGCCTTCTGTTTTTCTCCCTTTCCCTCCTACCTCTACACCAGTATCTGGTAATCTTCCTGAAATCCAAATCTAATTACCCAATGCCTTCCCACAACTTCCCAGATAAAAATCCAACCTCCACAGGTTGTGGGCCCTCATGGTCTGGCTCCTGCCTTCTTAGATTCTAAACAGGTTAAGCAATTGTCCATGTACTTCCTTTGTCCCAATCACACTTTCCAGATTTCCTGGTTTTTTAAAAAAAACATCAGCTCAGATATCATGTCTTACGTAGACTTTGACAGACTCTGGTCAGCCCTTATGTTCCCATTATGTCGTATTTTTGCTCTGTGAGAGCAATTATTTCACTGGGCCACTAAACCATGAAGAAGATAGTGGCATAAAAAAATCCAGACCTGGATTCAGGCCACACAAACACGACCCAGCTTCCACCAAAGTACTCACTTCCTGGTTCCTGGGTGAGCTCCAGAACTGCCTTTTCCCTTCCACCCAGAGGGAAACTCACATTAGATGGAATTCACTTACAAAAGGTAGTCTATGTTTATTTAGAGTCACAAGCAGTTGATTGACTCAGTGTGACTCAGATCACAAAGACACCATTTCTCCTTCACTCCATCTGGGGTTGGCTGGGGCCCAGTGTGGCAGGAGGGCTGCCCGTGGCCCCTTCACAGGTTCACAAGCTTCTCATTGAGGGCAATTTGTGACTGTGTGAGGTTGGCCAGATAGGTCACCATCAACAGGTCCTGGAAGAGAAGGAGTCCAGGATGAGTGCGGGGCTGGGTAGAGAGTAAGCGGAAAGGCTGGCCAGCTGTATGATGGTCACTGAGGGTAAGGCAGTCCTGGGCAAATGAAAGCTGGGAGAGGCTGATCAAGAGTAGGAGGAAGACAAAAAGGAAATGCCTGAGAACACCGTTTCATCTCTGATACACCTGAGCCATGGGAAGCAAAGAAATAGCAGGAGGAGAATCTCTGAACACCTGTGCTTTCTTCCTCACAGCCTGGACTGCGAGGGGGCCAAAGGCGCTGCCCTGCCTCCTCTGCCTTCTCCAGGCCACCTCCCCACCCCCCTTCACACGTGTACGGGCTGAGGCGCAGGCTCCCAGAAGCCCAGGGACAACACTCACGTTAATGTTGCTGTTGAGCATGGTCTCGAAGTCCTCGGGAACTATTTTGGGTACTTGGTTAACCAGACTCATCAAGAAGCGGCCCACAGTATTGTCGGCTGACACCTTTCCAGACTGAGCACCAAGAGAGTCAATGCGGCACGTTAATTCTTGTCTCTGAGACCGTGACTTCGCCAGCGCAGCCCCTGCCGTCTCACAGTGGAGACCCACACCCTCCTCCTCCTGTTTCCCTCCCATCCTCACCAGCACGTCCTCCGCATACTGCAACACTGTGCTGAGGGCGTCCTGGATGCGAGCGGAAGCCCCGCCCACTTGCTGCAAGTCACTGGAGAGGCCGATCACCCGGTTGGGGCTAAAACAGGTCTTCATGATCAGGTCAACTGTGGGAGTGGGTGGGGTAGAAGAGACAAAATTCAGCCATCCCATCAGGAAACAGAGCTCAAACTACCTCCTTCTGGACTGCTAGCTTCCCCAAACTCCCCCTGCTCTGCCCTTACTAGCTTTTCTTCCTTCTGAGAGAGTTCAACCCCTGCACCCAGGATGCTAATCGCTGGTTTTGGTCTTATATGAATGGCCACGTAGCCTCTGGGGCTGATGATTTCCCACCTCTGACAATTTCTCAAATAATTCCTCTAGTCCCACACAAACCTTAGATCAAGGGTTGCTCTTAACCCACCTAAGGTCTTCCATCCTTGTTATATAGAAATCCCCTCCCTTTCCAGGACCTAGAAATGGGGAGGTCACTTACCTCCAATGCGTTCAGTGTCGTAATATGTGTATTTCACTGTCAGAGGGGTGAACATCACCCCCATGGTCCTCCCAGGAACACCCATTAAAGTGCTGGGGAGACAGAAGTCAAGGTTAACAGATGGCTTTGGTGGGCAGTTTCCATGTTTGGTCCCGGCTAGGAAAGCAGTCATATCAAGAGTATGGTTTCCAAGGTTCTGAGATGAGAAGGCTGGACCAGATGAAGCCCAGAGGTCTAAAGAGAACAAGCCACTTTCTTCCCTTAGCTCTTTCCACACACCAAACTCTTGGCCTGAAAGAATGGACTCAGCATTTGGACGGGGCCTGGACCCTTTTCCAGAGGATTACTTCACACACTGAAATCTCAGTGAAGAGGACGGGACACTGAATATCCCTGTGGAACTCGGTGCCTAGACATCCTTCCCACAAAAAGAAGTGACAGGACAGGTCTCATCTGGGACCAAAAAGTACTCATCAGAACTGGAAAAAAAAAATCTATTCTGGTCCATCAAGATTAGACTGGGTGCAATAATTAATCTCAGTAAAGGTGACTGCCTTTACTGAGTCAACTATACACTTTCATTGCATCTGCAGGAGTCTGAAATATTTGGAGAGGCTAAGAAATCAGGCAACAGCTAGAGCTTAGTGGTATAATAACTGGCCCTGTAAGAACTGACATGTACCACCTTTGTCCCACCACGTAATGGTTAACCAGCCACTTCAGTGTCAGATACAGAAACAGCATAAAGTTAAATGCAGTAAGAGACGCACTAACAAAGGGCATCATTCCAAGGAGAAAATATAATCCTTTCAACTCCTATAGCTGCCGCCTTTCTGGCATGCCACTAGAGCCTTTCCCATCATCCAGCCCAACATCCCCCATCACCCAGCATTCTAGTTGCCTGCAAGCTCAATGTGCCAACAGGGTAATATGACTGTCATTCAAACTGTACTATAACCAAGATTAACGGACATGTTCAAGATAAAGACAGCCATTCTTAATCTGTACTGCCCTGTGTTCTATGCAGAGTTTTAGGGATAATGACAAACCTAAGGGCAATTCAGAAAATCAGTGAAGATGGAGAAGAATCCTGGCCAGCACACCATGTGAGGATCAGCGGTAGGAGCTGTGTATGAGTTAGCTTCTAGAAAAGATGACAGGAAAAACAAGCTTGCTCAAATACCTATAGGGCTGCCCTTGGAAACTGGCTATGAGCAATGAGTAGAAGTCTGGGCAGGCAAGGGTCAGCAAGTGGTAACTTCAGGGACAGTTTCTTTCTGAGTAAAACCTCTCCAGTGATAACTGCCGAGAATGAGGCAGGGGCTTCCTCAGGAGGCAGCAAGTTGCAAACTGAAGGATGACACCGGCATGGGGTGGAGGCGGGTGTCATCCAGGGCTAGCATGGATGAAGGAGGCTTCATGCCCTTGTGGCCCAAGCCCCTGGTCACCTGACATAGGCCTTGATGCTCATGCGGCCGTTCTGGAGGCTGGTGTCCACTGTGAGGTGAATGGGGTTGGGGGCTTCTCGGCTGTAGTACTCATGGATCAGCACCGAGTGCTCCGTGATGTCGTGGCCTGTAGCGTACCTGGAAAATGGAAGAGCTGTGGACTCATGTCTACACATGACATCAACACTAAAGAGGATGGTGGCTTGGGTGTCTCTGGGTACCTGACACCCTTGTGGTAGTTATACCCCCGGGGACAACACTGAAGGAAAAAAAAAAAAAAGCACACTGATAATTTTATTAAATCAAATAAAACAAGGCTGACTTAAAACCTCATGAAAAACTCTAAGTCACCAGCGAGGTAAAAACGACTTGCTCAGCAAAAGCTGCAGCTCAAAATGAGTATCCTTGGCCTCACAGGATCAGAACTGCCAACAAAACACACAGAATTGCCAGCTCCTTGAGATAATACACATTCAATACCCTGTCTCCAAAAAAGGAAGTATGCTACCTAGTCAGGTGGCAAAAGGCACTGGCAATCAACCACTGAGACGTTCCACCCCCGTCCCAACTCACCAGCCCAGGATGAGCTCGTTTGGAGAGACTTTCTTGTGCAACTCATACATGTTCTTAGCAAATTCCATGTCAACAGCCACCTAAGAAGAAGGGCAAGAAAGAAAGCTAAGAAGCCACAAGTCCACAGCAAAATGGGTGAACAAGACAAGAGGCCACTCCCAACAAAGAAAAGACGCTTGGCAAGTATGTCCAAATGGGACAAAGCTCTTTGAAAGAACAGCAGTTTTAGTTATGAGCACGACACCCTTGGTGTAGGAGGGCCTCACAGAGAGTCTGGCAAATGAATAGCTACAGACCATATGGGGATCTCAAATCCCCACTCACCTCATCTTCTGACTCGTTGTGTGGCACTGAGAAGCAATTGGTGACTTCCACTGAGTGCTTGTCGACGGTTCCTGTGAGAGAGAATGGTCCAAGTGTTACAAAACCTTGGGCTTCCAACTGCCCCAAATGCTTTCAAGAGGTCTTCTCGAAGTCAAGGCACAACAACAAAAATCCAAACTGGACTCAGAAGCTCCCAAGTTTCAGCCATGTGCACCAATGGAACCTGGATTTTCCAGAGAAATGAAACCCCAGAGTTATCTCCAACTCTCTTCTTTAACGATCAGCAAACAGCGTCTATTCTTCCTTCATAGGGTCTCCTTTTGCGTCACTTCCTGCTATCTGTCCTACGCCGGATCTTCACTCTAAGATCTTCGTCTTTCAGGCTCTGGACTTTCTCAATAGAATTTCACCTGCAGAGCTGCCTGGGGATTCTAACCGTGTCTATGTAGACCACGCACATAGCAGCCCCATCCTCAGAGCACACTTTTAGGGGGCGTCCCCTGCACCTCCCTGCAGCCATACGGTCCCAGTCATAACCTTAACCCTACCACCATCCAGAAAACGCCTCCTTGTGAACCCTAAACATCATACCACAAACTTTTATTTTTCGAGTTCTGATATTTTTATTCCTGCTACCTTGTTTCTTGACCTCACTAAGACTCCCAGTCCCTTGACTGCTCCATTTTTACCCTAACCTACTAGTCCCTCTCCATAGGCTTCCGGTGCTTCCCTCTCCACCAGACTACAGTGTTGCTCCCGACCCATCAGTGTCTGTTTAATCCCACTTCACTGTGGTTTCTGCCCTCTTAGCTGAAACTATATCCCCAAAACCAATGATACTTTTTCTTTTTAATTGAAGTACAGTTGATTTACAATGTTACAAGTGTACAGAAAAGTGATTCAGTTATACCTGTATACACACACATATTCTTTTTCAGATTCTTTTCCATTAATACTAAGTATGGTTCCCTACACTGTACAGTAAGTCCTTGTTGTTTATTTTATATATAATAGTATGCATACATACTCTATATCTTATTTGACCTTTTGTCAACAGACTTGACCACTCTGAGCTTCTGAAATAGTCAAGTTTTCTATATTTTCATGCCATTATGGCACCCTTCTATTAAAGCATTTATCTCATTATACTCTAGTTACTTGCATATAAGAGTATATCTTCATCTTGAATCTAAGGTTAAGAGTAGCATTGGTTTTATCAGCCTTTGAATTCTAAGTATCTAATAGTTTTATGGCACATAAAAGGTACTAGTGATTTAATTTAACCAAATGGAATATGTCCCATGAATTGCTTTCTAACTTAAAATTTCTATATTCCTAGCAAGCAGATTCTGTGCTTCATTCTTCAGTAAGCATTGCCTCTGTAACATCTAGCATTGTACCATGATTCCATTCTGGAAGAGGAGCTGAAAATCTAGATTACAGTTGGTCTAACTTGGGTCACTGCAATATCTGGGGGCACCGAGTACAAATCCAGGGTGGAGAATTGAGAATTGTTTCTTTAGTTAACAGATCTAGTGATTTTGGGAATTTTGCCGTTTTGGCGGAAGGATTTTACTGTTTTTTTTTGGGGGCCAGTTCGTTGTTGCAGGGTTCTTTTTTTTTGGAGGTTCAGGGCGGGGCTTTTTGCCGGATTTTTGGCTTCTTTTGGGGGTTTGGGCCCCCCTGGTGGCTCAGACTGTAAAGAATCTGCTTACAACCAGGAGGCCCTGGGTTCGATCCCTGGGTCAGGAAGATCTCCTGGAGAAGGAAATGGCAACCGACTCCAGTATTCTTGGAGAATTCCATGGACAGAGGAGCCTGCAGGCTACAGACCATACAGTCCATGGGTTGCAAAGAGTCCGACAGGACTGAGTGACTAACATTTTCACACTTTGGGAGATTATGAATAGAGGTGAGGGTGGGGGTATGGGAGATGAAGGACAGAGTGAAAACTTTTCCTGGGAACCTGGAAAATGAATGGAACTTAAAGGAAAAAAATAGGGAGAACAAGCAAAGAGAATACAAAGGCTTGGTTTGAGATAGCTATGGCAATGTTTGTAAAAATTAATCAACTAAAGTTTCTGTAAAATGCTACAGTCTCAAAGATAAGAGAGAGAATGTGTGTGTCAGGAGTGTGCCTGATGTGGTGGATGACAGCAACCAACAGCTGCTTCATACCTAGTCTGTGTCAGCACAGTCAGACGTCTTCAGCAAGTCCCTGAAGGAAAGAGACTTCCCTAATGTTTGCAGAAGTCTGGCTACAACTATTGTCCTCTTCTCAATACACCAATTGTCTTCTACAATGGAAACTATTACAGGTTCAAGGGTTAAGAAAGAGAAAGCATAAATGCGACTAAAGTGGAATCACAAAAGTGCCCCATATCTGTGACCAAGATGGAGTGAAAATTAACTTGATGGGACCAGAAGTCCCCAGAGAAAAGAATACATTGTCAGAAATCCCTTTTTGGGCTTCTCGGTTTTACTCTAACATAAAATACCCATTCCTCAAATTTGGAACATGGCAGGGAAAAACGTTATTTCTCCATGTGATGGTTAATACAAAGAATAAATTTGTATTGTATTAATTGTTTGTATCCAAACGAAGAATCAGAGGCTACACTGGGGGAATGGGGGTCTATATTTCACTGGTGACTAGTATTAGACACAGCGAGGAAACAAGGATCAGGCTTAGACGTTTAAGCAGAATATTGAAATTCAAATGGGTTCTTGCCAAACTGGTTTACTTGCTGAGAGGTATATCTTTCTACAAGATGTCCCCACTCCGTTGCCAACTAGTTAGAAAAAACTTCTCGGTTAACACTCGGAAAATAAAGACCAGTAGCAGGTAAGGGGAAAAAACTTGGTCACTTGGGTTTAGGGAGTCAAACGTTTTTGACGTCCCAGTAAGGGTGTGAACACATTTTTTCGGTGATTGGGACTAATCAAACTCGAAGCGAAATGCTACTGCGAAGATTAAAAATAAAATGTTAGTCACTTGGCACACGATACTTACTCAACAAGTAACTACAAGGGAGTGAGAATAGAGGGGAACAAGATAAAAGGAGGTGGGAAGTAAAAGAGAACGTCAATTTCCCCTGACCACTCACCCAGCAGGGTCCCGATTACTCTGGCAGCTCCCTCGTTGCGTCGCTCGTAGCTGTCCACGATGGAGGCCAAAATGACCGGGTGCAGCCGGACCACGCGGCCGCCAGGGAAAGGACCTGGGAGAGCAGGGCCTGACAGAGACTGTGCGGGGGTCTGCGCTGGGGCTGGCGCTGAGGCTGGGGTCTGGCCCGGAGCCGCGGTGGCAGCCGCTGCCGGGTCTGAGGATGACGTGGGAGCCGGCGATGGCGCTGGAGCCGGGGCCGGAGACGGCACTGGAGCCGGGGCCGAGGCTGAGGCCGGGGCCGAGGCCGGAGATGAGGCCGCAGCTGGGGCTTCGGATGGGGCGGCGGGAGGCGCGCTCGCCGGTACTGCCGGTGTGGCCATCTTGTCGAGAGAGAAGGAGCCAGAACCGGAAGAGAGCCAGTTAGAGAACATTAGGAGCGCCATAGGCTGAACCTGCACCACGTGAACTAAGTGCTTCTGCTTACTGGCTACTGATGATGCCTCTCAGAGTTACAATTTCCTCCATTTCCTGCTCTGAGTTTGTGCTCTTTGATTTTGGTCCGATGCGCACTCAGCGAGACCCAAGCTAAGAAGTTCCGAGTAAACTTGGGACCGCCCTGGGAGGAGAGAGAGACTGCCACCAGATGGAGCTAGAGAGCGGTGCAAAGGTCGCAGCTAGCACTTCATTGGGATAATTGGCATCAAGGAAAGGGCTTTGTTCTTGAATGCATCCTAAGGTGTCCATACAGTGTATCATTCATTAAACAACTTGAATATGTGCCAGACACTTTTAGGAGATATCTGAGAGCAAAACAAAGACCATTGTCTTTGAAAAGTTTACATTCTAGTAGAGAGAGACAAATAAGTACTTTATAGAATATATTAGTGAAGAGGAAAAGTTAAAATTTTACATAACCTCCTGCTCATTCTGCCTCTGTAACTCAGTTTGCTTCTTGCAAAGTCTGGATCATGTAGGTCATGTAGTCTCTGAAAGTGGGGACTTACAATCCGAGGAACTAGAGTTTATCTCACACACCCTTGCCCTGCTCTTTGCAATTGCCCAGCCCCTGCAATCCTGCTTAATCATGCCTGTCCATATAAAGGTCAGCCGTTCATCTCCCCGTTTTGACCGCTGTTCCCGCACATGTGAAACACCGTAGTTTAAACAAGCCTGTTGGCAGCTAGTGCTGTCCACTATAGTCTGTCTGTAAAAACTCTGTAACTCCTTTGTTTGGGGCTCAGAGCTTGGAGAGTTAACTCCTCTGGGCCCGCTGGCTTAACAAACCTGAGCTCTCCAACTCTCCGAGTGTGGTGCTTGATTTCTTGATTACTGGTTTCTGCAACACTATGTGTGGAAGGAGCTCTGATCCTCACTCCTTGTGTAACTTTGGGCAATCTAGAGGGCTTTTATTTTAACTTCTGGAGCCTCAGTTTCCTTTATTGTGTGAGGGGTATGATCTGCCTAAGAGGAAACTTGTCAATTCCTTTGGTTGGATCATGTGCCAGCTTCCAGCTGGCAAGGTGGGTGGGTGAGGTTGAACTTCTTAGCCCGGACTCTCATGCCCAAGAACTGCTTTCTCCTTGAATTTACGTTTTGTGATTAGAATTCCCATAATCCTGCTCTCCTGTGGGTATTTTGGGTACATTCTTTCTTTCCATTCCCTTCGAGAAATGGAATATTTCCTGACATATCACTAAACAAAGGAAGTCACAGCCATTAGCGATTGCAGCCACCACTGACGGTGAGCTGATGAGCCTGAGGGAATTTAGGAAGGAAAGAATACCTGCCATTTAAAAGCCTCTGACTGTAGCCACGCCCCATTGTGAGCCCTGAGGAAATTCAGGATGTGAAAACACAGAATACTGGCCTCAGATAGGTGGATGCATATCAAAGGAATGATTTCAGTGAGCCTAGACTCTTGCATCTTCCCATACAAATAAAAGTGCTAAATTCCTTGAGATGTCTGGTTTCCTTTAATTAACAAAAATCTTTTGTTATTCAGACTTACCAGCCCTTTGTTACAAAACTGTGTAACCTGGCCCCCTGCCTGGCCTCCTTGGAGCAGTTCTATCAGGGTTGCTTGAGATGTTGCCTCCTGGGCTTGAAGTCCTAAAAATTCTCATTGAATAAAACATAACTTTTAACTTTTATGTTGTGAATATTTTTTAAGCTGACACCCCAAACGCAGGTGAAGAGCCAACCTCAGAAGGATTGAAGTGATTCTTGCATTTGATGACTTAGATGTTTAGCAGTCCCTGTGGGGCAGTGCCAGTGGACTTGAGGTTGGGTTGGATATGGAAGCCAGAATTCAAGAGTGAGGGAAGGGTCAGGTTGACTCATGGTAAGAGTCCTGGCTACTCTCTCCAAGAAACTGCCTGGGAAGGAAAGAAGACGCTTAAAGCAGTAACAGAGGGAACAGCAGGATTGAGATGGGGACAATTTAGGTTGGAAGAGTTTTAAGTGTATTTTAAACCAAGGGTAAGGATCTGGAGGAGAAAGAAAGATTGAATATACAAGTGAGAACAAGGCTAATTGTCTTCAAGGGAGGAAGGAGGACCAGATGGGAAAAGCCTAGTTTGGAGGGATGGTCTTGCATGGCATGAGGGACCTGCTCGAGAGGCTGCCCTGGGCTCTGGCCTGCCTTCTGGGTGCTTGGTGGTGGGGGGGGGAGGGGGCAGTCTGCCTTAGCCAGGGCTGGTCCCCTGAGATCATCCTATGGGAAGAAGACTAGAGGCAGAAACCACTCCAGTGAAGTGTTGCTGCTCCCAAATGACCATGCAGAACCTTGGGACCTTATCTCCATGTGCAGATTTGAGTTGGCTGTGGACACTGCACCCTCAGGAACTTTTATATCAGGGGCTTAAGGACCCTTTTTGTTTTGGAGGGACAGAGAAAAGGATGAATCAAGATTCAGAGACACTTTGAATGGGGGAGAGAAGGGACATTGCAGGAACTTCTGTCAAATGCTTTTCTCAAGGAAGTGGAGGCAAGACCATCTGGTGAGAATGGCCAGGCAAAGGTCGAGTTCAACCTTGGGGGATGGACAGTGTTAGGAAGAGAGATAGACAGTGAGTCCTCAGAGGCATTAACCCATTATCTGAGGACCCAGCTTATGCCAGAGATCTCAAAGATCTAGTCAATCTTGTGATTTTCCTCTGCTCAGGGGCAGGAGGAGAGGGATCATTGGTGTGGTCTTTCAAGGATGTTGACTGGCTGGGACAAGGGCATTCATACATCCAGATGCTGGCTTTTTAATGGCTGATTGAGGGATCTAGGCAGGCTGAACCATATAAACAGAAACTTTGGGTCCAGATTTATTAGAGAAGGGCAGAAGGCATGGGGAGAGAGAAAATGGGCTGTCCCCTTACACATGGGAAATGTGTTGTGTACATAGTGGATGGAGTCTTAGGGCTCTCCAGAGGAACCAACAGGAAATACATATTTAGGATGAGGAGTTGGTTCAGGTGATTAAGGAGATTGACAAGTCCTAAGATCTTTGGTGGATAAGCTGGAGCCAAGGAGAGCCAATGTGTACTTCTAGCCCCAAAGCTGGCAGACTCCAGACCCTGCAAGAGCCCAGGTTTCAATTCGAGTCTGAAGACTGGAAAAGACCAGTGTTCTTGCTCAACAAGGGCTTCCCTAACGGTTCAGCGGGTAAAGAATCCACCTGCAATGCAGGAGACAGAGGAGGAAATGGCAACCCACTCCAGGATTCTTGCCTGGAAAATCCCATGGACAGAGGAGCCTGGCGGGCTACAGTCCATGGGGTCACAAAGAGTCAGACACGACTGATCATGAGCGTGGACTCACTCAACATTTAGCCTGGAGAGTTCACTTAATCTGAGAGAGGGTCAACCTTTTTGTTCTGTTCAAGCCTTTGGCGTTACAGAAGGCAATCTGTTTTACTCAGTCTAGCAATTTAAATGTTCATTTCATCCAAGAGCACTCACAAACACACCCAGAAAAATATATGATTGAATATTTGGGGATCCTGTGCCCCAGTAAAACTGACACATAAGATTCTCCATCACACGTGGGTTCCTGGCTGTCCTGAGGAACATGCTTGCCAGTCCTGCCTGACAAGCCCAGGGTCATAGCTGCAGGCTCATGTTAAAGGTGGACCTATAGCTTGGTGCACCCATCCCCCACCCCGGTAATGGCTGGAGTGAAGGGAGCCCCAGCTTCAGTGACAACCCATCACTTCTTGGAATATAGAAGGGGAAACAATGGAAACAGTGACAGACTTTGTTTTCTTGGGCGCCAAAATCACTGTGAGTGGTAACTGCAGCCATGAAATTAAAAGTCGCTTGCTCCTTGGAAGAAAAGCTATGACAAGCTTAGACAGCATATTAAAAAGCAGAGACATCACTTTGCTGACAAAGGTCCCTATAGTCAAAGCTATGGTCTTTCCTGTAGTCATGTTCGGATGTGAGAGTTGGACCATAAAGAAGACTGAGCACTGAAGAATTGATGCTTTTGAACTGTGGTGCTTTAAAAAGACTCTTGAGAGTCCTTTGGACAGCAAGGAGATCAAACCAGTCCATCCTAAAGGAAATCAACCCTGAATATTCATTGGAAGGACTGATGCTGAAGCTGAAGCTCCAATATTTTGGCCACCTGATGAGAAGAACTGACTCACTGGAAAAGACCCTGGTGCTGGGAAAGATTGAAGGCAAGAGGAGAAGTGGGAGACAGATGATGAGATGGTTGGATGGCAACACTGACTCAATGGACGTGAGTTTGAGCAGATTCTGGGAGACAGTGAAGGACAGGGAAGCCTGGTGTGTTGCAGTCCATGGGGCTGCAAAGTCAGACAAGATTGACCTGCTGAATAAAAAAAGCAACATGAGAGAACCTCAAGGGGGCACCCCAGGCCCTCTCAACTCTGCAACTGGGACTTAGCTGGGCTGCCCTTGTGGAACAGAGTTACAGGAACCACTCCCCGACAGTGGCTCAGACAGTAAGGCTCTGCCCGCAATGCAGGAGACCCAGTTTCAATCCCTGAGTCAGGAAGATCCCCTGGAGAAGGAAATGGCAACCCACTCCAGTATTCTTGCCTGGAAAATCCCATGGACAGAGGAAGCTGGTGAGCTACAGTCCATGGGGTCACAAAGAATCAGACACGACTGAGTGACTAACACTTTCCACTTTCTGGCTGCCCTTGAGGGGCAGAGACCCCAGGAACCCTCCTTAGTGGACAGTCACCCCATGATTCTGCAGACTGGGACTGGCCCAGGCACCCACCAGCAGTTGGTCCCTGACCACTCCAGGCAGTTTTCAGGAAGCCAGGCTCCTCAGCCAGGCTCCACTAGCCTGAGACATTCCTGTTACACTGAAATTCAGTGACATTAAAGCCCTCTGCCTGGAGGCACTGTCAGTGGCTGCTGCAGACCTGCTTCTTGCAGGGAGGAATGTTCTACAGCAACCAAACCCCATCAGCTGATTGGTCACCATGTCAAAAGCCAGCCTCACCAGGTGACCCATGGCTTATAGCACTTGCCTGTCTCCAGGGCTCTCCAAGGCCCGTCTCCTTCTTGTCTTCTTGGCTTGGCACTCCTTTTGCTCGATTCTCTGGTTTTCTGATAGTCATATCTTAGTTTCTATACCTGCCTCTGGCCTTCCCTCCCTCCCCCTGGTTTTGGGTCAGTGTAGCTTCTTTCTCTGGCATGTTAACCTTAACCATCCCTGACTCCTATCTCTCCAGGGTGCTTAGATTCTAGCAGCAGTGAGCCTGGCCAACCCCCTTGACTTCATGCCAAGGTGCAGACAGTGGTATGCTACTAAGTGTTTAACAGCCAGGTACCTGAAAAAAAAAAATACGGCCCTGGTTTTAGTGTTTACTTATTTCCGTGGTGTATATACTCCCAGCATGGTTAATTGCAAACTATGAGCAGTCTAACAACTGGCTCTCAAAATTCCAGAAAATTTAACAGTTGGCTTTTGTGAGACAGGATGGGTTGGCTCTAGCATTTCTGTTTTATATATACTATGTCTTCGTTCCCAATATTTCATTGCCTCACTGCCCAAACCTTAGAAATGACTATTTAGGGACTTCCCTGGTGGTCCAGTGGCTAAGAGGGTTGAGTTCAGTCCCTAGTTGGAGAACTCAATCCCACATACCACAATTATCAATAGGAGATTCCACATGCCACAACTAAGAAAAAAACAAGATCCCACACATCACAATTAAAGACCCCGAATCCTGCAATGAAGATCGAAGATCTGTGTGCTGCAACTAAGATCCAAAGCAGCTAATCAATAAATCCTAAAAAGAGAGAAAGAGAAATGACACTTTACCTGAATTTTGTGTCTATCATCATTTGCTTAAAATCATGGTTTTATTTAAATTATGTATATATATATATATGACTAAATGTATATATATTCTTTAATTTTGCTAGCTTTTGAACTCTATAAAAGTATAATACTGAAAGTAGTAAACTTCTGGAATTATCTTTTCTTCCCAACCTCAGTTCACTAGGATGTATTCATGGTATTGCATTTAACTATAGTTCATTCATTTCCCTTGCTGTGTAATATTTTATTGTTTAAATATATCAAAATTTATTTTCCAACTTATTGAGTGGGCATGGGGTTGCTTGCATTTCTTGGTATTATGAACACCACTGCTTTAAACATCCTTCTGTATATGTGACCTTGAGCACCTAGTAACTGGTGTTACTTGTCCAGGTGTGGCCTCCCAAAATTCACCTGTTGAAGCCTTAAACCCCAATGGTTATGTGGCTTTATCTCAAGATAGGGTCTTTAAGAGGTAATTAAAGTTGAATAAGGTTATGAGGTTGGGACTTTAATTTAATAGGATTGTGGTCTTATAAGAAGTCCACATTGTGAGGATATAGTGAGAAAATAACTGTCTGTAAGCCAGGAAGAGAGCTCTCAAAAGAAACTGACCTTGTTGGCATTCTGGTCCCAGACTTCCAGCTTCCAAAGCAACTTGTTTTCCTAGGGGTTTTACCAATTTACACTCGTATTAGCAATATATAAAAGTACTCACTGATGAATGAACTCTGCCACATCTTAATTTTTCCCAATTGAATGAATATATAATGGTATCTACTTGTGGGCTTAATTTGCATTTTCCAGGTTACTAATGAAGTAAAGTATCTTTTTGTATGTCAGTGGCCATGTGTATTTGACGCCTATGAAAAATCTTTTCATGTCATTTGCTCTGTTTTCTATTAGGTTGCTTATTTATTTACTTACATATTATTTATTTTATTTTTAAAAGGGATTTCTTTACATACCTTTATACCCATCTCTTATCAGTCACAAATGTTGCAAATCCATTCTGCAAATTTATAGATTTTCCTTTCACTTCTGATAAGATATTTTTTGAAGAACCAATCTTGGTTGTAGTATAGTAAAAATTGTTAATACTTTCTTTATGGTTAGAGCTTTTCAGGTCTGTGTTAAGAAATCTTTCCTATTTGAATATCATAAAGATAGGCATATATTTTCTCTATATTTTAATTTTTTAAAAAATTTTGTTCTAACCCCTTAATTTATCTGGAATTTAAAAATTTTGCCTTTTCAATTGCTATTTCTTTCCTCATTGATCTGCCATGATACTTATAGATCAAAGTTTCATAAATGTCAGGTACTAATTCTGGCTCTTTTTTTTCCTTTTCCATTTTGTCTATTATGCACAAATATAATGATTTATTAATGACTATATCTCTGGTTTTAGAATAAGTCTTGGGAATTCTCTGGTGGTCCAGTGGTTAGGATTTTGGGCTTTCACTGCTGGGGGCCCAGGTTAGAATCCTAGTTGGAGAATTAAGGTCCTGCCAGCTGTACAATATAGCAAAAAAAAAAAAAAAGTCTTGAAATCTGGATAATAGGTTGTTTTAATTACTGTAGTTTTGGAATATGTCTCAGTGTTTGGTAGGGCAGGTTCTCCCTCCCTTCTGCCATCTTTTTCTTTAAAAGTGTTTTGGCTGTTCCTGGCCTTTTGTTCTTTCCTATATGTTTTAGGGTAAATTTGTAAAAATTTTTAAAAATTAATTTATTTTTTTATTGAAGGATAATTACTTTACACAATTTTGGTGTTTTCTGTCAAACCTCAACATGAACCAGCCATAGGTACACATTTATCCCCTCCCTTTTAAACCTACCCCCCATCCCCTCCCCATCCCATCTCTCTCAGTTGATAGAGTGCCCCTATTTGAGTTTCCTGAGCCATACAGCCAATTCCTGCTGGCTATCTATTTTTACATATGGTAATGTAAGTTTCCATGTTNTACCTTAGCTGTGCAAATGCTTTTAAGTTTAATCAGGTCCCACTTGTTTAGTTTTGTTTTTATAAATTTGTAAAATTTGATGGATTTAGATTGCATTGATTCTAAAGATCTATTAGAGCTGAACTGACAACTTTGTGATATTAAGCTGACCTATTTGTGAATATGGGATGTAATTTATTTAGGTCTTATTTGATGTAGTTTTGTAAAATTTTATAATTTTTTTGTGTATAGTATACACATATTTTGTTGTTTATATTTTTGTTGCTTTTGTAGATATTGTACTATATTTTCTAATTTTTTATTGCTAATTCATAAAAGTGCAACAGTTTATTCATCTGTCAACTCTATTCACCTGTTGCTTTTAGTAATTTATCTATTAACTTTTTTTGTTTTTCTATGCAGATAATCATTATTTGCAGAAAATAGCTTTCATTTTTTTCATTCCTAATCATTATGCCTTTGTCCTCCCCCCTCCACTTTTTTTATTGTGCTGGCTACAGACTCTAGAACAATAGAATTAAACTGGTGATAGCAACTGTGCCTGTCTTGTTCCTGATTTTAAAGGGAATACTTCTTCTAATCTTTACCCTTTTGAATAATGTTTCTTGGGGGTATTTTTGTAGGTTCCTTTGATGAGGTTAGGTAATTCCTACAATTTTTTTTTCCCCTACAATTCTTAATGAGTTTAAGGAATTCTCTACAATATCTAGTTCACTAAGAAAGTTTCTTCAAAATAGTTATGAATAGTTTTCAATTTTATAAAATTTTTTGCTTAATTATGATTATACATTTTATTTCTTTAATTGTTAATGAGATTAATATTTATAGATTAAAAAAATTAAAACAGTCTCCCATTCTTGAGCTAAACCCAATTCGTTTACTACATAGTACTTCTTCCACACAGTACTGGATTCAGATTGCTAATATTTTGTTTAGGATTTTTGTATTTAAATTTATGAGTGTAATGGGTCTTGGTTTGGTATTAAGTTCATGAAGATGAATTTAGATTGGATTTGCATTGACTCTAAGCTAATGTATGGAGCCCAGGAGGCTGTGAAAGTGGTGCTCAAGGTCTCGATGGTCATGATCCTGTTGGAACTCATGGACAGCTCAGCCATGTTTGTCTGGATGGTAAGTGCAGCAGGGGACAGAGGAGGCCCTGGGACTCTCCCTCGGTCCATGGTATTTCCAGAGACTCCCCTCCCCCTAACCTATAATTCCTGCCTTCTCTCACTCTTGCTCTCTGCTCTTGCCTAGGAGCCCCAGTGCCTCAGGGTCCTAGTGGCCTTGAGCTGAAGGCTCTGTCTGATTTTGGCTGGCCTTGGTCAGCAGTTAACAGGAAGCAGGATCTAGTTCCCTGACCAGAGATTGAAGCCAGGCCATGGCAATGAGAGCTCTGAATTCCAACCACTAAATAGACCATGAGGGCCAGTGGCTAGTGGCAAGGCCCTGGCTTGTCTGCTTGGTAGAAATGCATTTCAACAAAGAGATGGAAAATAGTGAAACAAGTGTTTATTAGGAAGTAAAAATAGTACGTGTGAATAGGCACACATGGATAGGGTCAGAGAGAGTTGTGCTTCTGTGTATTTTATATGGGGCATTTCTTCTGGGTTTCTTCTGACCAATCATCTTATATTGCCTGGCTCAGGGTCCTCCACTCTTAGCCAAGGTGGATTCCAGTGCAGAGGCCTGTGGGAAGGTTAACACCATCTATTATGGGGTGACACCCCCTCCCTTTTTAATCCCCCAAGAGCTTTTCTGTGCATGGGTAGTTGGGAAAGTCTCTTTGACCTCAATAGTTGAGAAATATGTATTTTCTTTATCTTTTATCTGGGCAGGACTCGGCTCCTCTCTGCCCCTGCTATTATGTTTATCTTGGAATATCTGCCCACAGGGGATTCCCAGGAAGCTCAGTGGCAAAGAATCTGCCTGCCAATATGAGAAATGGGAGGGATATGGGTTCAATTCCTGGGTCGGGAAGATCCCCTGGAGTAGGAAATGGCAACACACTCTAGTACTATTGCCTGAAAACTTCCATGGACAGAGGAGCCTGGGGGGCTATAGTCCATGAGGTTGCTATATTCCAAGAGTTGGACTTGACTGAGTAACTGAGCATATACGCACACATCTGTCCACAGGGAACAGACTTCAGTCCCTCAGCCTGGGGCCCATCTATCTCCTGCTTCATGATCACTGCCAGGTGGAGGGTAGGGAGTGATTAATAGAAAGACTAGGGTATCTTATGGTTATAACGCCCTCCCAGTCTCCAATTGTCATACTAGAGGAGGAGAAAGTATGAGGAGCTTAGATGTTGGGGGTGGTGTTGCTGAAGGTGTTTCTGCTAACTAGAAGAAGTAGCCTCAAGCAGTGGGCTCAGACCTTTCCCCAGCTTCTCTAATACAGGCAGCTCAGGCTGCTTCTCACAAGGAACCAGTGGACCGATGTCCCCTAGAGGGCGGGGCAGGCATGTCACCTAAACAGCCCCCATCCCTTCTAGGGTGCTTGTTGAGAACAGAGGGTCTGTGGAACCAGTGCTTCCTCCACAGGCTCCTTTCACACCTGAGAGCTCCTCTGACACAAAGACAGGCGGGTTCTGTAGACTAGGAGTTGGGGGGCTCCTGCTCGGAAGCTGGTTTATCTTTAGCACCTGGCTTACCTTTACCAGGAATGGGCTCCTATGAAGTCACCATTCTCCAGTTTCCCTTTCTCCTCTTTCTGTCCTCACCAATTCACATGGGGACATTTCACATGAACACTCAGACATTCACACACACAGTGACTTTTGCATATACATATATTCTCACAAACATATGTGCTGATGCACACTGATGCCTTCCCTCTGCAAATATACACAAACTTCCATAGCACGCTTTCATGAGCATGTGGGGAAGTAAGGATTCACTCACACCGTGCAAACACCCAGCCACCCACCCCAAGAACACAGCCTTGCACACTCATATAGCTGGGCACAAGCACACCACACATGCATATATGCACAGGCACACATATATACACACACTCACATATACATACTTGAAATGGGCCCTCTTCATGTTGCTAGAAGTATAATCTTCAGAGTGGAGCACAGAAGATAAGAATAAAGGACAGAGGCCAGCATTACTCTCTTTTTATTCCCATCTCACTACCTAAGACCCCACTTGTCTAGCACAGATTATGGACACGAGAGTGTGTGCGCCACCTACAGGAGGGTCAAGAAGGGGACATCAATGGCAACCATGACCAGCTTCTTCTGGTGGTCACGCCCAGCTCGGGGAGCCCAGACTCATCTCCCTGCTCCAGCCGGGAGCTGGAGCTGGATTCTGTCACAGTGCTGGCTCTATTTAATCCTTGAGAAGAGCCCTCCCAGGTCCCACCCAGAGTGGCGCTACAGGGATCAGCTGACATAGGAAAGATAACCCTGGCCAGAAAAATGGTGCTGGACTAGACCACTAGCACCCTGTACCCAGGCTGGTTTGATGATGCCTTATGTGTGAGAGCTGTAGAATGGGGTCCTTATGTGTGGCCTTGCTGGCAGAGGGCAAACTGGACCAGCTCCTCCTCTGGTGTTGTAGGGACAATCAAGCAGCTGTCACAGGGCTTCTGAGGCAGCTGGAGTGGCACCAGTTCATCCTGGATGGCTATGATGAGCCGCAGGAGCCCTTGGGCAGAGAGGTTGAAGAGGCTGAGGTCCAGTCCCAAGGAGGAAGTGCTGCGCCCTTGAATCAGGAGGACAGTATTGCCGAGGTCCTCCCTTCTCATCACCACCCAAACCCTGGCTTCGTGGAATCCAGAGCCCTTGCTGAGACAACCACACTCTGACCACATTCTCAGAGGTTTCTCTGAGGACAAGAAGAGGAGTTATTTAAGCTCCTATTTCACAGATGAGAAACAAGGTAGAAATGCCCTTGACATTGTGCGAGCAAATGATGTTCTCTACAAAGCATGTCAGGTTCTAGGAATTTGCTGGTTGTCTGCTCTTGGCTGAAGGTCAGATAGAGAGAGGCAGAGAGGTCTCAGAAGTGCCCAGCACAGTGCCCAGTCTATACTGTGGTGTAGTGTGATCAATTGCAGCTTACATAAATAGTGGCTTCACAAATTTCGAGAAACTTCTCAAATTTCCATGTTGGAAACGAGCCAGGGCTTTTTCACTTTAGTCTTGGAAGCCTACTGTTACTTGACTTAGCTCCATGCTAATAACATATCATGACTAGCCCCAGAGGTGCCTTTAACTGACTTTTCTTTCTGGAAATATCAGTCAGTTCTAAGTGCTAACTCATAATTTCTTTTGTCTGCTTTGGTTCCCTCTGTAGAGAAAGGTAGATAAAGGGAATTCTAGATGTAGATGTGGTCAGTTCCCAGTTCTCATTTTATTTTTTTAAAATTTTTATTTATTTATTTATATATTCATCAGCAATGCCACCTGGCTTGTGGGACCTTATTTCCTCAACCAGGGATTGAATCCATGCTCCCCGAATTGGAAGTGCAGAGTCTTAACCCTGGACTACCAGGGAAGCCAGCCAGCCCTCATTTTACAGATGAGGAAATTGAAGTTCAGGTTCTGGGGTTGCTCAGGCAGCTCTCTCGTCTCCCACACCTCAGCCCATGGTGTAGAGCAGAGGTCTACAAAGGCTGTCTATGTGCCGCCAACCTAACCCCATTCTGCAGTCGCCGAGAGCCCCAGGGCAGCTGAGAGCTTTAACACTGCCTTGGGCCCTCAGACACCCCTCGTTTTGCCTTTCACACAGTTTTATTGCTGTTATGACTCCTCACAAGTTGAGTTCACATGGACCAGTTCCAGAAAGCTGCTGGACGTGCTCAGATATATGAATCCAAGTCAACTCAGCCTTGAGTGATCACTGTGGGACCCCATGACACTAATTTTTATGAGCTCTTCACACAGAAAGTTTGGTGGCTCCACATTTGATAATTATATACATACCTGTTGAACACATAGACTATGTGTATATATAGAATCTGTGTAAGAAACTGCATGTGTGTGTGTGTGTGTGCTTGCTCAGTTGCTTTAGTCGTGGCCAACTCTTTGCGACACTATGGACTGTAGCCCGCCAGGCTCCTCTGTCCATGGGAGTCTCCAGGCAAGAGTACTGGAGTGGGTTGCCATGCCCTCCTCCAGGGGATCTTCCTGACCCAGATGTGGGACGGATCCCATATCTCTTATGTCTCCTGCACTGGCAGGTGGGTTCTGTATCACTAGCACCACCTGGGAAGCCTGAACGTGTGCACATGTACTTAATTAAAGAGCAGTGTGTACTGGATTACTGAAGAGGCTAGTGGAACCCACTTAGCTAGTCTGTGTTGGCCACTAGAGAGTTTGAATGGTCTCAGCAGACCAACTCCTGAGAGTCGTAGAGATTTAGGGAACGACAAAACAGGTGTCCAGTCATGTTGCTGGTTTTTTATGGGAACAAGGAGACCTGTTTTAAAAAAAAAATGAATGTAATATCCAACTAAAGTTTAGACATGCTATTTTACATAGGATTCACATTCAAATCAAACTAGATTAGGCAAAAATTAAAAGACCCACTATTTTCTTTCTTTTCTTTTTTAAAGCTGATTTCTAGTTAGGTCTGTCTGGCTCTTTCTCACAATGTTATCTGGGCTTCCGCTCTCTTTCCCCTCTGTTGCTCTTTCTATAGTTGCCTTTTGCGCTTATCTGTCAGAGAAGATGGCCACAAGGGACATCAACCTAAACCATTCTTACAGCCAATAATTCCATAGGGAGGGAATAGTCTCTATGAATAGCTCCTGCAGGGAAGTTGGAGAAGGATTCTGACCTGACCCTGAGCAGGTGTCAAGCCTTGAACAATCTCTTTGGTCTGGACAATGAACTCTGACCCTAGCGACTCTCATGGCCTAGGTCACATTCGATGGGCTGAGTAAGGAAGGACCAGCACCTCCAGAAACAAAGGGAATGAAAAAGTGGGTCCCCTAAGGAAAGGATTCTGAGCAGACAATATATCATACTGCATACCGATAAAGTATATACATACTGTACACAGATAAAGGTTTGGTTGGCCTCTAGTCTGGTTGGTTGTCAGACTCTGCCTTGTGGGAATGCTGCTGGCTGCTGTTTAGCAAGGCCTGATAATGAGGTGTCAGGTCTAGGAGGCCCCCGGGCTACTGCTGGCTCACTGGTGGGCAGAGTCAGTGTCTTGAAGACTCTGGGGCTGCTGCCCACCCACTGGCAGGTGAAACCAGGGCCTGAGGTTAGTACCAGACTACTGGCAGGCAGAGCTGGTTCCTGGAGCCTGGCGGCAGGGCATAGGGATCTCAGGGCCCATTTCAGACTGATTATAGGAGATGGGGAGGTGGTTCCTGACACAGTTGTGTATGGGGTCAACTGAACACAGCTGTTGTTCGGTCGCTAAGTCGTGTCTAACTCTTTGAAACCCCATGGACTGCAGCATGCCAGGCTCCTCTGTCCTCCACTATCTCCCGGAGTTTCCTCAGATTCATATCCACTGAGTCAATGATGCTTTCTAACCATCTCATCCTCTGCCACCCCCTTCTCCTTTTGCCTTCTATTTTCCCCAGCATCAGGGTCTTTTCCAAAGAGTTAGCTCTTTGCCTCACATGGCCAAAGTATTGGAGCTTCAGCATCAGTCCTTCCAATGAATATTCAGGGTTGATTTTCTTTAGGATTGATTCATTTGATGAGATCTAGAGTGTCCTGAAGTTTGCATTGCCCTGCTAGTGGGGAGGGTCTGGCCTACATTCTGGTGTCTGCCCACTGGGGGTTGAGGCTGGTCTAGAGGTCTGTGCAAGCTTCCTGGTGGGAGGGGCCTGTGCCTGTCTACTGGTGGGTGGAGTTAGGTCTTGGTCCTCTGGTGGGCAGGGTGACAGTGGGCTTAGAAGGTCTTCAGGCGCCTGTCTGCAGAAGGCTGGGGCTGTATCCCTGCCCAGTTAGTTGTCTGGCCTGAGGCATCCCAACACTGGTGCCTGCAGACTATTAGGTGGGGCCAGGTCTTGGCCCTAAATGCTGGAGGAAGGAGCCCACACAACAGCGTCGGCCTGTCAGCTCCTCCTTGAGGGTAGAACGAGCTCCTAAATGTGGCTGCTGCTGGTGTCTGTGTCCCCACGGCGAGCTGTGCTTCTGTAGCTGTGGCTCCTGGGCTCTAGAACACAGGCTCAGGGGCTGTGGTGCACTGGCTTAGCTGTTCCACAGTATGTGGGATTCTCTCAGACCAGGGACTGAACCCATGTCCCCTGCACTGGCAAGTGAATTCTTTACCACTGAGCCACCAGAGAAATCTGATTTTGGTGTGCTCTTAAAAGGAAGTGGGTCTCTTAAAAGGAAGCTCTGGGCCTCTCTCTAGTCTCTTGGCTGCTCTCCTCATCTGGTCCTTACTTAGCTTCCCTTTGTGGGCTGGGATGTGTGAGCCATGAGAAAGAAAAGGTTATAGTCAAAACGAAAGAACTCTGTTCCTAGGAAACAGCTCTCGGGTCCTTTCTGAAAGAGTGGGGTTTGAGACTGGCAGGTGGAAGGTGAATCAGACAAAATATAAGATGTCTAGTTAAATTTGAATTTCAGATGGACAATGAATATCTTTTTTTTCATGGGACATACTTATATTGAAAAATTATTTGTTGTCTATCTGAACCTCAGGTTCAGACTGGGCATCCTATGCTTTTATTTGCTCAATCTGGCCACCCCATTTGAAGGAGGGTTGTGGTAGAACAGGTGGTAGATGTTGAGCCAGGTGGAGTAAGGTATCAACTGCTGTAGCTCCAATTACCACTGAAATCCACCCCCACCTCTCCTTGCCTTCCCTGGGACTCAAAAGGAAAGAGACCTCTGTACAACTCACAAACTTGTGAGGATCTATAGCAGGTTAAAATGTGAATGCTCCTGGGTATTCTTGGGAGTATTTGGAAAAGGGTTGCCAGGAAACTAATAACCAAAAAAGATGTCCTTTTCATTATAGGGGACTGGAATGCAAAAGTAGGAAGTCAAGAAACACCTGGAGTAACAGGCAAATTTGGCCTTCGAGTACAGAATAAAGCAGCACAAAGGCTCACAGAGTTTTGCCAAGAGAACACACCGGTCATGGCAAACACCCTCTTCCAACAACACAAGAGAACACTCTACACATGGACATCACCAGATGCTCAACACCAAAATCAGATTGATTATATTCTTTGCAGCCAAAGATGGACTGGGAGCTGACTGTGGCTCAGATCATGAGCTCCTTATTGCCGAATTCGGACTTAAATTGAAGAAAGTAGGGAAAACCACTAGGCCATTCAGGTATGATCAAATCCCTTACGATTATACAGTGGAAGTGAGAAATAGATTTAAGGGACTAGATCTGATAGACAGAATGCCTGATGAACTATGGATGGAGGTCTGTGACACTGTAGAGGAGACAGGAATCAAGACCATCCCCAAGAAAAAGAAATGCAAAAAAGCATAATGGCTCTCTGACTCCTCAGACGCCTCCTTACAAATAGCTGTGAAGAGAAGAGAAGTGAAAAATATAGGAAAAAGGGAAAGATATACCCATTTGAATGCAGAGTTACAAAGAATAGCAAAGAGAGATAAGAAAGCCTTCCTCAAAGATCAGTGTTAAGAAATAGAGGAAAACAATAAAATGGGAAAGACTAGAGATCTCTCCAAGAAAATTAGAGATACCAAGGGAACATTTCATGCAAAGATAGGCACAATAAAGGACAGAAATGGTATGGATCTAACAGAAGCAGAAGATATTAAGAAGAGGTGGCAAGAATACATGTAGTTCAGTTCAGTCACTCAGTCGGGTCCAACTCTTTGCGACTCCATGAATCCCAGCACGCCAGGCTTCCCTGTACATCACCAATTCCCGGAGTTTACTCAAACTAATGTCCATTGAGTTGGTGATGCCATTCAGCCATCTCATCCTCTGTCATCCCCTTCTCTTCCTGCCCCCAATCCCTCCCAGCATCAGGGTCTTTTCCAATGAGTCAACTCTTTGCATGAGGTGGCCAAGGTATTGGAGTTTCAACTTCAACATCAGTTCTTCCAGTGAACACCCAGGACTGATCTCTTTTAGGATGGACTGGG